CCAGTTTGCCAAACAAAGCCTATTTGAAGATAGAAAATTTAAAGCAAACCCTTTAAAGCAAACCTTACCTTTGGAGGGGTTGGCATGCCCTTGGCATCCGGCCCCTGGCATAGGGTTGCTTCGTGGCTTTACCAGCTGTGAAACTGGAAAACGGAGACCTCATCTTGCTAATGTGAGCTGTCGGTCACAAGTAGCCTCTGAGGCTCCTTACAAGCACGGATTCAAATAGAATTTCCTGCAAAATCTTGCCCCTCCGACCACACTGCTTTTTTCCAGTCGTGTTCTGGAGCTGGAGCTGTTGTGAGAAGCTGCCGAAGTGGGTTCTGAGGACCAAGACTTGGAGATAGATGTTCCTTCCACAGAATCTGCCCCCACCCAGGGCTACCCCAGAGAAAGCACGTACCATAAGTGGGGTTCTGTTGGGGGCAGGGCTGAAATTGCTGGGACGAGAGGCCTGGTCAGCAAGAGGACCCTTGCTTCTGTTGACCATGGGAAGTCAGGCACTTCCTTCCAGGCTGCCTGCTCCGGGAGCTCCCATGCCTGCCTCGTGCCCCATGGTGGAAGCGGGCCTCAGCGCCCACTAGCCCAAGAACCCGGCCAGACAGAGCCACGGCTGGGAGGAGGGCCTCCCGCTGTCCTGTCTGCTCGCTGCTCTTCACGGATCTCTCGTGGTAGCTATTCTCCGAAGACAGCCCTGTGGTCTAAACTCCCGGTATGCACGCCCCGTGTGGTCCCCTCCCACGATCTAGGCCGACCAGGTGTAACCAAGAACATGACGGAAGTGGCAGTGTGGCTCTCAGGCCTAGGTTATAAGAAGCCTTGCAGACTCTGCCTTGGTCTCTCGGGATTCTCGTGCCAGGACAGCCCCTCTCTGGGACTCAGCCACCACGCTGTGAGAAGATGGAGAGCCGCGGGGAAGCCAGAGGTGGGTGCCTCCCATGGACGGTCCCAGCCGAACCTAGACATCACCTGCCGTGTGAGTGAAGAAGCCCCTGAGTGAACCTCCAGCTGAGTCCAGGCTTTGGCTCCAGCCCCAGCCACCATCTGACCACAGCTACATGAGAGACCACACCAAGTGCCCCCCTGGGCCCAGTCTGCTCACAGAACCACAAGAAAGCACGATCCACTGTTAACTTGGCTGTTATTCAAGGCCACGAAGTTTGGAAGTTGTTAGGTACACAGCAGTAGATCCCAGGGATGTCGTGTGTGGCCAGATGACCTGAGTGTGTGACTGGAGCTGGGGAGACAGGCTGGTGTTCCCCCTTTGGGTTCTGACTGTAACTGGGGGTATTCGTGCCCGGTTCTCTAGCTTGCACGGGGCCCAGTGGGAGGGTAGTGGGGGTGGGGGAGGGGTCTAACTCAAGACGCTCCAGAGGCTGGCAGGCCCGAAAATGACAGGGAGGCAGGTTGACCTATGAGTATTTGCTTTAATGTTAGGAGAACAAGACAGTCAGAACCTGTTCTCTTCGACAGAATGAGAGCTCTCAAGGTGGAGGCCTGCCTTATTTATGTCTGCTTCGCCCACAGCCTAGCACTTGTCAGGCACATTGAGTCCCTCAACGTGGTTGAATTGAGAAGACTGTGTTTCCATGACCCTAACGAGCATGTGAGTCAGTGTGTGCTCTGAACGGGACATCACAAGGGACCAGGGAAATAGGAGCAGACCCTGGATCCCTGCTCCCTGAGAACTCACAGTCTGATGGAGGAGGTGAGGCTTCTGCCAGTCCAATGGGGAAAGGACATAGTTTTCATCCTCAGCAAGCCCCTGACCCACACTGCAGGGACTCAGAATGCAGGCAGAGAATAGCTATTCCCTCTTTCCTCTTGTATGTTTTCAAAGGAGCTGCGGGCTGGGTGGGCAGGCCTCCTGGTCCAGAGAGATCTTTTGAGAGACCTTCAGCGCAGGCCAGGCCAGGCCAGGCTCCCTGGTGCGGCAGCTACCTTTCCCTGTCACTCAAGTGCCCAGGACATGCCGGGATCCCCCAGAGAGTGCGTGTGCCATGGCCCCTGGCCTCGGGGAGCACTCACAGCTGACATAGCGGGTGGTCGACCGAACCCACGCAGCCGCCGCTGCCCAAAACAGCACCAGCAAAGACAGAGCAGAATTAAACGGAGCTGCCAGCCCTATTCAGTGAGAGGGAGAGTAGGTGGGTTTGTTTAAAATACTCCCATTACAGTCAGTTAACCTTTATGTTCCCTAAATGAAAACTGTATAAACCTGAAATTTTCGTTGATCAGGTTGCCTAGGAACAGGCAGCAGGTTTTCATAAGACAATGCAATAGATTGTCACCGATAGGGCCATTAGGAAGTGAGCTGGTTAGCGGTATTATTCCGGATCCCGGTGCTGGCGTCAGGTAATTATCTGTCTGCCTCTGAGGAGCACACCCATCTTCCTGGGCTCGGGCAGGCTCTTGCAAATGAGCTTTCTCAGCCTGCTTCGGAGTCCCAGGGATGGAGCGTAGGAGCAAATTGCCATCCTGGGCTTATGAGAGAAATCTGAAAGACCAATTCTGATGAATGTATTTCGTTTTAATCACCTCTCCTTACCACTACTTGCAACAGTAACACTCAAAGCAGAAAACTTGGCAAATAAACAGCAATAACAAAATGCACCGCGGAAGTAAAAGAACAAAGTCGCTCTAAGGCAACTTTGGTATGTCTTTGTAATATTTTCCCCATATAGGATATGCATATACACTTACTTATCTTCCACAAAGATCCTATCCCCATATATGATATGCATCTACACTTACTTATCTTCCCCCCACCCCTTACATTTAGGGTGACCAACCGTCCTGGACTGAGGGTTTCCCAATACTGTTGCATGTTATTATCAGCATACTTTTCTGTGGCTTCATAGCTTTCAGTCAGCTTGGATGAACCAAAATTGGCTAACTGATTCCCTGTTCTTGGACATTTAGGGTATTTCCTTTAGGAAAGTATTATAATCAGTGCTTGTCACCACAGTAGCCTTATCCATATAAGTTTATTCTTATAAAGTAGGATTTTGTCCTGCAAGTAGGATTATTAGGTCAAAGAATGCATACTTGTATGGCTTTCGATATTTTGTCTTGTTGCCCTTCAAAAAGATACGTGCTAATTCCTACCCCTCCTCCCCATACTCTCTGGGGCTCTGACATCAAGGAATCCTGTCATCGCAGCCAATCTGATAGATGAGAAGGTATCTTGTTTAGGAATATCATTTGTGACGTGTGATATGAAAGATATGTCTAATTACTAGTCATTTGTGAATTGCTTGTTCATGTCGTTCACCCATTTCCATTTCAGGATGCTCATCTCTTTCTTTTTAATCTATAAAAACTCTTTGTATGAAGCTTATCAGGCATATTGAGCCTGAATATTGAGCCATTTTGTCCATGTTTTTAAAGACTGTGTGGTTATCACTCTTTAAAGAGCAAGAGTGAGTAATACCTGTTATCTGGTATCTCTGAAAGACCAGTTAATATTTTAGGTAATTAAAGCTTCCCTCAAGCCTTAAGCACTAAAATATTTTCTTAATGTTTGTTTATTTTGAGAGAGAGAGAGAGCATGCAGGGGACGGGCAGAGAGTGAGGGAGAGAGTGAATCCCAAGCAGGCTCCGCACTGTCAGCACAGAGCCCGGCCCAAGGCTCATTCTCACAGACCGTGAAATCATGACCTGAGCCAAAATCAAGAGTCAGACTCTTAACCGACTGAGCCACCCAGGCGCCCCAATGAAATATTTTTTTAATTGAAATATTTGGGATGAGAAGATTTGAGAGCTATCCATATCTCCAAAGTGGATAGCCCGTATAGATCCCTTTAAAGCAAAGTATAAGGCACATAATGGAACTTCTTCATATCTCAGATACCCTGGCAACGATAGTAATTTTCTGTGTGATAGTGAGACCCTCAGCAGCTGTTGAGCCACGTGGAGTTTGGGCTCCTATGCCATCTGGCCCCCTTTTAAATATGGTACCTGATTCTTCTCTTCTCTCCCTCGCTATCAGACTGTCATGCTGATACTTTTTGCTTCCATAAGCAGCCCTGCCCTACAGCATCCCATCTTCATCAGTGACGGGGCTGATTACCAGTTAACGATGTTTGTTAAGTTTGTCTGTAAACTCAAAGAAGTAAGCACAGAGCAGGCATCTGAAACACGCTCTTAAAAATAGTGCAGCTACTTCAGCAGGCAACGGTTTTACCTCTCCCCTGGAGTTTGTATTCTACATCATTAAGGTGGTTAAGTAAGTGACTTCTGGGTTGTGTGAGCAGAATAGGATTAAGAAATTTTGGAGGCAGAAGAGAAATAGGAAAGATTAGCAACCACTCGAAGACGTAGCTGCAGAATGAGAAACCGGTAATCCAGATGGACAGAAGCGGTGTTTAATGTCATTACTTCTCCCAGGAGCATGCTGGGGCAGGTTTTATGGAGACGGTGGCATCGCTGACCTAGAAATTTTAAAACTCCAGCTTCCAGACCTGCACCTGCCAGGATATGGCTTACGGCACATTACGCAAGCCTGCCGGTGTTCAGTTTTGTCATCTGTGAAATGGAGCTAAAACTAACTGGCCTGTGTCTTTAATAAGAGAGAGAATCAGGTGGCCTGATGTGAAAGGGTTACCGGCCTGAAGGAATTTGCAAGCCTGTGAAGGGCCAAACAGTCGTGAGGGACTTTTACTACTGCTATTGTTTTTCTTCACAGATACACCCAGCAGCCATCGTCTGCACACGTCCCAGTCTGAGCACTCAGCGCCAGCACGTGTGTCTTCAGCCCGAGTCCCTGCCACCCCTCCAAACCCAATTTCATCCTTGTAGGTTTCTCCAAAGCAGGATTTGCAACAAGTGGCGTGTTTTCTTAAATATTTGTTTTGCAGGCCATTTACTCGGCTTGGCTATTTTTACAGTGAATAAGGAGCAAGGCTAAAAATACCTTAGCTGGTAACCAGATCCGTTCTGCATTTGACATTTACGTGGAATTCATTTGCATCTCATTTGTTCGCCTTTCTGTTTAACAGGTAGAATGTAAGAAAGCTCAGCCTAAGGAAGTCATGTTCCCACCGGGGACAAGAGGCCGGGCCCGGGGACTGCCTTACACCATGGACGCGTTCATGCTTGGCATGGGAATGCTAGGTGAGTCTGGGCGGGACCCTGGGGACACAGCAGGGCCATCACGGACTATACACCCAGCCGGGTCATCTACCAGTCGGGCAAGCTGCCTTACCTCTCTGAGCCTCAGTTTCCTCATCTGTAAACGAAGGTGACAGGCCCCTTTGCAAGACATCTGTAACCATTAAATGAAGAGAGATAGATACATAGACAATAGATGGATAATAGGAAAATAGGGAAGTAGGCAGGTAGATAGGTGATAGATTGATGATGGATAGATAGATAGATAGATAGATAGATAGATAGATCGATCATCTTGTCCCTTGCCTGGCTCATAAGAGCTGCTTGATACTATTTTATCACCTTTCCGCTCCCTTTTCAAAAGGAGAAGAGCCACCCCCGGGCCTCACTCCTCTCTACTAACTGGGCATTCTTAAAGACCTAAGGACGCCTCGCGGCTTCACCTGTGTGAGCTGAGGCTACATTTTCTAAAACTTGGGAGAGGAGGGGGAGTGATGAAGGTGGGCTATAATCCTGTCTATTTAAATGATTAACAATTTTTCTCTTGGGATATCAGAATTTGCATTTAAATGGATGTTTTAAATGGCCTGTTTTACTCTTTATTTGCCAAAAAAAAAAAAAAAAAAAAAAAAAAAAAAAAAAAAAAGGTGAAAGACAAAGTGTGTTTGTTCCGACAAAAAATGATCTCTCCTGGCTTTTAGAGAAATTAAGTTGCATATTATGCCCCTTCCTTAAAGGTATCTCTGTCCGTCCCGCGCAGATAATTGAAAATCTTACCGCTTAAATGGCATGAAAAATGGAGAAAGCAGTGGAGGAGCGTAATGGTGTGGGTCGCAACAATAATTAGAAATTTCAAGGCGAGAGAACGGTATTTTAGTGCAAGTTATTGTGTGTCGGGAAAATACTAATTAAATGGGATAAATGGTAGTTAATGGTAAAATTCCATTCAGGCACAGGATCTGTCTAGTTTTAATGGATTTTCATTTGGTTTGGCTGAGTCCTCCTTCTATATTGTTTGATCGGCTCTTTGTGTGTTTTCAGATTTGCAGCTCTTTGAATCGTTCCTGGCTCAATTTTAAATGTATAAAACTAAAAAAAAAAAAAAAAAAAAAAAAAAGTATAAAACTTTTCTTGGCGTTATAAATTCTTAAAAAGAATTGTATCTATTTTGTCTGAGGAAATAACAAGGGGAGGTAAAGTTATTTTGTGGAACTTTAAGAAATGGAAAGAGATGCCATGAGAATGCCTGAAACTGGCTGGAATGGCACTTCTTCTGGAAGGAATTCTTTCGGTTTAACCAAGTTGCGATGGAAATTCCTATGTACTTCTTTAAAAATTGGCCAAACGATTCTAATGCTGATCTAGAAGAAGAAACACATGAGACTGAATAAGGAAAAGTTTTCAAAAGAGTAATGAGAAAAGGCCGGTTTGACCAAATAGCAGAACATAGCACAAAGCTACGGTAATTAAGTGGTGTGGTATATAGGGACGTGCCTGTTGATAGAAAGTTAAAGCACCTGAACTAAATGTATTTCTGTGTATGAGTGTCATTATTATACAGAAATGACTTTTAAAAATCAGTGGGAATTATCCTGGTTGGCTAGGAGACACTTGGCTAGCTCTTGCTTAAAAAGTCATTTTTATGTGGTTTTTACTTTATGTTGTATACCAAAAGAAGGTCTGAATGGATTAATAGTTTTAAATTTTAAAATCACATCTTAAAAGAGTTGCCGCCTGCTGGCATGGGGAGTCTTGAATTTTCAAGGTTGAGTATAAAGGCCCTGGGGCATAAATCCTTTTTAGGATCAGATCTTCAGAAGTGCCCTATCTTTCTGAGTCTAACTTGATGCCCTTGACATGCTGAGGAAAATGGACTGTTTTCTTCAGGTGCAGAGGCGTGAGGCGAAGCCAGCTCACTCTTGTCAGTTGCCACAGAGCAAAGGTGCAAAGGTCAACGTTCGCCCCAGACTGTGTAGGCAAGGGCACGATGTCTCCATGGACACCCAAGCTCGGATCCCTGAACAGAGGGCACCCAGTGGTTTTAAGATGGGAGCCAAGGCAGGGAGGCTTTGTCGAATCTGGGAGGTGTTCAGGGGCGAGTAGGCTTTGAGCACCTGCTGCGTGCCTTGCCCCAGGCTGGTGCTGGGAGACAGTGCTTATTAACAAGGCGGATGTGGTCCCTGCCCTCTGAAGCTCGTGGTCCGGTGAGCGTGACAACAGTTAACAGCTAATCCTACAGATAGTTAGTTATCCTCATAGAGTTATGGGGTGCTTTAGGAGCACATAATAGAGAATGGAAATCAGTCTGAGGAATCAGGGAATACCTCCCTGTGGAGGTGACCTGTTAGCGGAGCTGAGAAGGTGAGCAAGCGAAGGGTGATCCAGACAGGAATAGCCTTAGAAAGTCAGGGTCCCCGTGTGGAAACCTGAGAGCCCACTGGCCTGGCGGAGGGGTCACGTCCACACGGGGCATGTGCGAGGAGGAGTGCCAGGCTCGGTGCCTCCAGGATTAGCTTTGACCCCGCTGGTGATGGGCAAACCCTCGTGGTCTGTGATTGGCTTCTGCTTCTTGAGGGAGGGATGTGTGGTGAGTGATGAATGGCAGGAACTCACTCCCCTGCCCCAGTTATTTTCCCATCTCTCATGGTTGAAGTTATGCCTTCCCTGAGCTGCAGTAAAGAAGTAATTGTTGGTTAAAAATGTTGTCGTGGTTGAATCTATTCGTCCTTGAGTTATGACCTCCCACGGGCCACCCCCCCCTACCAATCGACATCCCTGCCACTTAAGGCTTTTGCCCATGGAGGTCTGTTGAGGCTGTTACCAGGCAGAGCCCCCAGGCCTCAGCCAGCCCCACCTCCTGTCACAGAGGTTTTCCTCCTTCTCCAGTCAAGCATAGAGCCCTTTGGATGGAATTGGTGGTGTTAGCCTAGCCTCCATCAATTGGGACGTGGGGGCTGGGTAAGCCAGTGGGGAGAGCCTTGGACTTGAGAACCAGGAAGTCTGGACTCCTCACCCCATGAGCTGTGTGACTTGGGACAAGTGACAACATCTCTGTCCTTCGGTTACCCCATCCTTAGATAGGAATATGGGAAACTCTCACTTCATAGGGTTGTTGATGATAAATGAAACCATATCGTGTCCATCCAGTGCTACACTTCATCAAATCCAAGGTATCGTAGGTGGTGAAATTCATCTTTGTACAAACATTCAGAAAGAAAAATAAATATGCTGTTAATTAACCTGCACCAATGCTTTCTTATCACAATGACCGTGAGATAGAGCCTACTTTCCGAGATGTGAAAATGTGAAAAAATAAAAAAATGCGTGTCTTCTAGTCAACAAAATACAGCAGTACGTACTCAAATTGGGAGCTGTTATTAGTAAAGTAGTGGGGAGCCCCAGGCCTTCCCACCCAAACAGGTGCCCAACACCCTTCCTGCCAGTGACTGGGAACACAAAGCAGCAGGTGTGACTTGTGCTGTGGCACCTGTAGTCTCCTGGTCCATTCAGACCCTCAGCCCAAGGAGTTGGATTATCTTTCTGCCTCCCAACAAAGGGAGTTGGGAGTTTCTGCCTCCCAACAAAGATCCGTGCACAGGGCTCCAGGCCTCATCAGACCCCAGTCCTCCTGAGGCCCCAGCCACTATGGTGAAGGCCTCCAGACATTCGCTGAGATGGGCTTCCTGAGAGCTGCCAGAATGTTGCCCCAGCCAGGAACCAGCTCAGCCCAAGGTCCAGGTGGAAGGGGTGAGGCACGCACAGCGCCGGGGAACACGCTCACAGTCTCACGGCCTGGTTGGCCTCTTGCCTCCTCGGCCAAGCTGGAGTGTCTGCCGAGCCTCTGATGCACTTGCTGGAGACTCCCGGAGCTGCCCTTCGCTCGCATTGGCACAGCCTGGCATCCCAGGCCTCTGGACTCTCTGGGCAAGGAGAGTGCCATCTGCTCTTTCGCTTCTTCCCTCTTACCACGGTGGCATCAGGCGGAGTCTGATCCTTCGCTAAGGTGGGATGGCCTGACATGTCCCCACAAGTCACCTGGGTCTCCTCCCACCCCCCATGGTGTTCATCTGTCCTTGGAATCACTACCATCACCCGTAACATGTCAATGCCATCACCATGACAGTTTGGCTGATGAACTCGGTGCGGACAGAAAAACATTTTTTAAGAGCTCTTTAATGAAATGAGGATTCAGTGATTGACATTTTTGTTGTTAGAAGAGCAGAAAAAATCTGTAACCCTTGTACAGATTTTTAGAAGTGAGACTATTAAACCATGAAAGCTTTTAAATCCATTTGCTCGGCAAATATTTATTGAGCACCTACGAAGGCCAGGCACTGTTCTAGATGCTTAGAATGCATCAGGGAGCAGACATTCTAGGGAGACAACAGATACACTGGTCTGTAAATGACTCGGGAACTGTGAAGCTAATTTTTAAACACCCTTTAAGGTTTTCTCCGTGGTTGGGGAGATTGCATCAAAGGGAGGCTGATGAGCGTGTAGTCGCACTTTATTCTTTCTTGATCTCTCTTGATGTGGCTCTGCCTACGTCCTTGGGAGGAAACCTACAGCTGTTTTGGTTTTAGCTTTCAGAGCCTTTGACAGAATCTTAGAATAATCAGCCCGATGGGAATTGCTTTAAAAGAATGCAGGAGAGCGGTGGAGGGGTCATTCTGAGGCCAGCTCTCCCTGCCTTTGAGCCGGACAAAACCAAAATCAACTGAGACCCTTGGAAAAGTCTTTTAGCAGCCTTCAGACTTTGTTCCACTGCCTTGCGGCGGCCAAGAGGTGCCCACAATTATCCAGCTCGGTGCACTGGAATCTCTGGTTTTTCTTTTTAAATTTTTTTTAATGTTTATTTTTATTATTAGGAGGAGAGAGAGAGACAGAGTGCAAGCAGGGGAGGGGCAGAGAGAAAGAGAGACACAGAATCGGAAGCAGGCTCCAGGCTCCGAGCTGTCAGCACAGAGCCCGACGCGGGGCTTGAACCCACGAACTGTGAGATCATGGCCTGAGCTGAAGCCGGACACTTAACCGACTGAGCCACCCAGGCGCCCCTCTGGGTTTTCTTAATGAAAATCGACTTCATAAAAGCAAACATGATTATTGCTGATATATTTTTTTCCTTTTGGCCTTCTCTGCCTTCAGCCACATAGTCCTACTGCCTTTAACTATCTTGGCCTCGCTGGGCACACTCTATTTAACATGTGTGATGCCGCTGGTAGAGTGCTACCTCGTTGCTGAGGCCTTGGAGAAGCTTCAATCTGCAGGCCCGGAAATAGACTCTGTAGATCAGCTGAAGAAAGCCTAAGGCATTCTTAACAATGCTCATACTGTGACGTCCCTGTGAAGTCTTGACCCATTGTTCCCCAACGTTAAGCCCCTCTGAAATGAAAGGGGGAAAAAAATCATCATCTAGAAGAGACGAGCTGTAATCCGCGGGTGTTCACTCACAGATCAAAAGGAGATTGGCTGGAATTTAGAGCCACTTGTCTAGACCCGTTTGTCTTTCCCGAGAATATCTGCTGAGGTGCTTCCCGAGGAGGTCTCCATTTGTTCAGCTGTTTCCTGGTGGGCAGGAAACTCAAAATCTAGCCCTTCCTTTTCCTTCTAGCACAACATAGTGCACCAGAACTTTCTGTGATGGTGGAAAGGGCCTATATTTGCACTGCCCAAGATGGTAACCGCTAGCTGTATGTGGCTACTGAGCATTGAAGATGTGGCTCCTACGACCAAGAGGCTGGAGTTTTTCATCATAATTTAGACTTAAATTTGAATTGGACAGCGTAGGCCTAAAGATGCTCCTGGGCTTCGGGGTCTGGGCGTCTCGGTAGACCTTGGCCTTCACGTCCTGGCCTGGGAAGGGCTCAGGCCCTAGGTGTTGCATCTGGATGCATACCTCACTGAGCCAACGTGGTGCCCTGGGCAGTGCTCTGCAGCCCACTTGGCACATATGTCATGCTCGGGCAGGTCCCTGGATAAGCAGCCCTTTTCTTGTCTCTTTCAAGTCGGGGGCCTGGTGGGAGCAATTTTCCGTGACTGAGTAGCTGAGTCACAGAGCCCGGGAGAGGATGAGTCATATGCCCAGCCTAGAATGCAAACATATTCCAGGGTTGGAGTGAACATCTTCTAGAGTCAGAGCAAAGATCGAGAACCACAGTTCAAAGAACTCTGCCGGCATCCCCGAAAGGAGGCCCTGAAGTGATCTGACTGGCAGATTCAAATGCTGTTGTTGATTTCTGACTTGCTTTCTTTTTTTTTGTTTTTCCCCACAATGGAGAGCCTGTCCTCCAGAAAGGTGGCCATCCAGGCAGCAGGCTTAGTTTTTCCTTTAGTGACAAGAGATAATTACTGCGGGATTGATCAGGCATCCAGAGTACTGAGCAAATAAATGGTGCAGTGGCCGGTGCGGGAGGGGCCCCGCTACTCATGGAAGGGGTGGCCGGGTCATCTCGCTGTAATATGGCTTGATGGAGCGTCCACGTCGGTGTGCTCTAATGTGGTGTTCATATGCAGCCAGCCAATTTCCCCGTGAGGCCGGGGCGCTGAGCCGTTGGAGCAGAGCTGGGCTGCACAGCAGTAAATGAAGAGGAAAATTGAAGTAATGTTGTATTATAAATTTATGATTTCATCTGCCTGACCCAGAGGATGTTCGCAATGGGGGGGCGGAGATAAGATTCCCCCCCCCCCCCACTCTGGCAGGTGCCAAATTCTCATCTTGGTGGTGCAGGAGACAGTATTGACGTGTCCAGGAGGATTGGGGTGAGGCCCAAAATTGGGGTGAGCTTGACCGTGCTTGTCTTCCTTCTTGTTGAAGACGGTCACATGTGCCCGGAAGAAAGCAGATCTGGGAGATCTGACTCCCTCCCGAGTCAGGGAGGGGCTGGGCGTGCCGCCCTCCCCCCCACCGTCACCCCCCACACACACACCCTGAAGGAGTCTTAAAGATGACACATGGGTCTACACTTCTGCTGTCAGATTAAAATATTTCAGACCCCTAGTGCCACGAAGTTAGAAGCAAAGGAGTCATTTTTCACCAGGAAAGCCCCTAGGCAGCAGTGATTTGGCTGTTTGCATATAATCCGTTTATCAATATTGTTGAAATAATGGTTTAAGAAATCTAGTCATGAAAGATCTGATTTGATAGCAGGTGATTAATTCGGAGGAGAACTGAGCTGGCCAGCCATGAAATAAATACCAGGGAAGAAGCCGCTGAGCGTGCGTCCGCTTAAGGCATCGAGTCTTAGCCTCTATCCCTTCTTCTCTGTCCCCGTGTTCCTTTCCGCACCGGGTGCCAGAGCTTAGCGTTACACTTGGATACGCTGCTCCTCAGCAGTCGGTGCAGAACCGCCAGGTCATCCTGTCTTGTCTGGGCAGCCTTCTGCCGGGGAGACACCGAGTGCTGAGCAATATACACCCAGGGAAAGAGCAGGCGACGAGGCCCTTTTTGGGGTGGAAACAGGTCAGTTGGCCAGTGAGTTGCGACTGCAAATTTGGAAAGGCTCTGGCTAAAATAAGGGAAGGGAAGGGAGCCACGGCTGGTCTCAGTTGAGAGTTTGGGCGCATCCATGCTGCATGGGACCTTGCAGAGCTTTGTACAGCTGGCAAGACTCAAGCTGACAGAGGACAAGGAAGACCCTCCCCGCCAAGGGCCTGGCCTTGGACCAGAGGCAAGCGTGGAACCCAAGTGTCCTGATGCCCACAAGGGCGAGCCCCCCTTCTGGGTCTGATGACAGTTCCTCTGGTGGAGCAGGAGTTATGACACCAGCAGGCATGGAGATGTGAGGAAGGGCGGGTCCCACCTCTGGACCTCTAAGGCATCAAAGCTCTATGAACAGGCAGCAGGAAGACTGGCAGACTGTAACTCAACGCTGCCGGAGTCCCCTCCAGATGAAACCTCAGGAATGATACTGTTCCTTTGGCCCGCGCCGCAGGTCAGAAGATGCTGGTAACGTGTCCAGATGCACTTGGGACACGGATGGTGAGACCCCAGAGCCTGTGTCTGCGGGTGTTTAAGTTGCTGTACGAAACCGCAGAGACACTGCTGCCCTCATGGCTGGAGGGCATGGAGACTATCATAAACCCCACCCATCAGAGCAACTTCCTACCAGCATTTTGGTGGCAAGGAACAGAAACAACTCTGGCTGCTGGAAGCAAAAAAAGGAGGTTGTTGGCAGGGGCTCATCAACACACAGAATTGCCAGGAAGGCTGGAGAATAGGCAGGAACCGGGGAGCTGGGCGGTCAGCCACAGCCACAACCCAGGCACAACCCAGGAACGACCTGGTCAGGAGGCCACCGTTGCCGCCGCCGCCGGGTGCTGGGCTCACGCTGATGTCATCAGAATAAATTCTGCATTACCGCCCCCTCCTCCGCCCCACTAGCCCCAGAAATGGATCCAAGGAAGACTTCCGTTGGCTGAGCACAGGCTCATGACCTACTTCCCAGCTGCCTAGCTCAGAGAGAGCAAGGGCCCTTTTCTGCTTCTGTGATGGGAGGCAGGCCTCTCTCTTTAAGACTCAAACACAGAAATGGGGTTCAGGTGCTGGGCAGCCGAAAACAATCATAGACACCCACCTCAGAGGTCAAAGCAAAAGTCAACTGCTGGAGAGCATGAGTGTAGTAAGCGTACGATCCATTGAGTGGAGGGAGGCAGAGTGGGCCTGACGGGAAGGGAACGGGGGGGTAGCCACGGGTCTCCGGTGGCCGGTAGAATCCGTCCAAGCAGGCCACACGCCAGCCTTCTCTGTAGCCTGGGGCAAGAGGCAGGGACATAAACCGTGACGTGGCCCGAGCAAACACGATGCAGGGTCGAGAGCCGAGTGGCTGCTCACTGGGAGTTTCATAATATATCACAGAGGACCACAGCAACACCAGAACGTTCCATTAGTTTCCTCTGCACCCAGCCTGGCAGCAGTTTCCACAAGCAAGCACCCCACAGTTAGTGGCCACCCCCGGGGTGACCTGCTGAGATCATGTGGAAAATACGCTTTCTGTGAAATGCCCGTGAAAACATGTGGCACGAGGCTTCGGGGTGCGGGCCACGCTTCTGGTGCACATTTTAACCCAGCCAGAACCTCACCGTTCTCGGAGGGCCTTGGGAAGATGCTGTGACACCCTTTGGAGTGTCCGTGCCTGGACATAAGCCCCTGGGACCCTGCCTCCCTTGGGCCATGGCTTCTTAAGCCCAGTGTTTTTCCAGAGGCACAGGGTCAGCCCCGAGTTTTGCCCCTAAACTCTCACCCCCCAAGTACTCCTGCTTTGTCTGGTGCTAGAACTGCTGCTCGCTGCCTTGGGAGGAGGCATTACAAGGACTTTAATCTCCTACTGTCAATAGCTTTAAGGTAAAGTACATTCGGGGTAAGCTCTCCAAATGTCAGAGCCAGGCGTAGGCCCCGTGTTTGGTGCTAACGCGTGGCATTTACTCTGCAGGTTCCAGAAAGTGCGTGGGCTTTGGGGGTCTCTCTGCCCAAATACAGGTTAATTACCAGCAGGCTGACAGCGGTGCCCCCAGCCACAGTAGAGAGGTGACCCAAGCCCTGGCTGGGTAAAGACCCTCACGGGAGACAAATCATTTTGTGCAGGAAAATAACTCAGGCTGTCCTCATTCTGGCCCTTTCTGGGATTTCACCCCAGACCTGAGGCAGCTGTACTAACACAACTGTGATCTTTCTCTCTGTGTTCAAGGCTATCCCAACTTTGTGGCAACCTATGGCCGCGGTTACCCTGGATTTGCTCCTAGCTATGGCTATCAGTTCCCAGGTGAGTGTCTTTGTCTCCCAGGGCTTTGGGGGGGGGCTGCATTTGAGGGGAGGCGGGAGGATCCCTAGAGAGAATACAACTCATACACCTGTCCATTCAAGAAATGACCTATAGGAGCTGAGGTTCAAATCCTCTGAACTCCAGGGTCAGGATGCAGCTCGATGTCTGATTAACCAAAGTGTGTCCTCGGTGCCGGGTATTTGAGAGCAGCAGCTTTTAGGGGAAAGGGAAGGAGCTGAGGCAGGAGCCCTCCCTCTCTCTACCCACTCTCCTTTGTCTGGAGCCGGTTACAAGTTCTCGCTCACTGGACTGGACTCATCCTCTGCCTCTCTTATCTCCCTCCTCCCTCCCTCCCACCCACCCACATCCGTCCTTCCTTCCTTCCTCCCTCCATTCCCCCTCACTCCGGCTTCCTTGAGCTTTTCCTGGTGACCCTGACTTCTGTGCCCTTCTGTGTGTAACTGTGGTGTGCCGTTGGGGTTTGGGTTCGCTGTCGTGAGTGGGGGTGTGTAGATGGTCCCTCCCCTGCATGTGGGTGTCAGAGACTCGAGGCAGAGCCTATGGTGATGCCCGCTCACGTGCCCAGGGTTCCCCAGCTCCCATGCAGCTGGGAGACCTGGGACCCCCACCTGAGGCAGGCAGCCCGGACAGGCACGGTCTTGAAGGGTGAGGGAAAGGGTGCTGAAGGAAGCAATGTTTCTGGGGCTTTACTTGTCCCTTGAGGGGGTGAGCCAGCCTTTCCCTGACCTGGAGTACAGACGGTATATAGGGGCACCTGGGGTGTCTGTGTGCAGAGCTGGACAGCCAGAGTTTCTAGAGAAGGCATTAGCAACAAGCTTTGTCTTCTTGGGTTCTCTGCCAGGGTAGGGGAGGCTCCCTCAGGGGCTGGGCTTCCAGCAGTTTCACTCCTGGTTGGTCATCCTGCCTGGACCCAGAGCTCTGAGAGGCCCAGGGAGCTCGGACACAGTCCTTAGAGGATCACATCCGGAAGCCAGGGAGGAAGGCAGGGGAGAGGTTCGTGAGGGTCTCACCCAGTATTTGCACGTCTCTGACTGAGCTTTGGAGCAGGGAAGGGTGCTCCAGAGGAGGTCAAGAAGCATTTGGGGCACTTGGAGCCATGCCCTACGGGTAATAGATCCTCACTCAGCGACAGAAGCCCTAGGCTCTTGCCTGGTCACAGGCGGATCACCTGACGTCTCTGGGCCTCATCTCTGTCTTCTGTAAACAAGGGGTTTTGGGCAGGATAGTCCCCGGGGTCTGTGCATCTTTCCGATTGTAGGGTTGAGAGGGGCAGGGGCGGCAGGCACAGCGGCAGAAGTTCCGTATGGAAGAGTATGACTAGGAGAGACTTCCCCGTGAGCGTGTCCCCTGGGGCCATCAGGGCAGGGCCCTCCACAGGGTGGCTCTAAGGAAGCCTCCCCCCCCCAACTCCTCTACAGCAGATGGCTGCTTTGGGGTGCCCGTGGGCCCCTCGAAGCAGGGCAGTGGGCACCACAGCCAGTCTGCACCTCCGTTAGACTTTCCCCATCTACAGATGGGGACCCTGAGGCCTGGAGAGGCAGGAAACCCTGTTCAGGGGGGTCATAAGCCGCAAGGAGCAGGGCTAGGATTTAGACCCAAGTGGTCTGGGTCTTAACTGCTGCATTACACTCTCTCTAGCGTCCATCTGTCCAGTACGATCGCACTAACCACACGCAGCTACTATAATTTAGATTGAAATTAAAATGAAATAAAATGAAAACTCCAGTTTCTCAGTCACCCTGGCCACACTTCAGTTACTCAGCAGGCACATGTGGCCGGTGGCTGCCGTTAGCACAGCACGTAGAAAGTTGGGCTGGATGGCGCCATTCTGGAGCATAAAGAAACAGGTGGGGGGTGCATGGTCCACACACATATGTGCATGTGCTCACTGCCCCTCCCAGGGAGAGCTGGCGTGTCAACGTCCCTATTCACTGCTTGCCCATCCTCCTCAGCCCAGAAGCTGGTGGCAGTTTTAGGAAAGCCTTTCATCCCCCTCCCTCCCCTGGCTTCCTCACCAGGGAACATACAGGCTCCCGTCCTGACTCACTGGGAGCACCGTGCCACTCTGCACACCTAGCTCAGCCTGCCTCCCTTCATACACAGGTTGCCATTGCCCCTCGGTGAGGTCCTAGTCCCAGGCAGGCAGAGTTGGAGGATCCTAACATGGAATGATTGGGGGGGTGACCGTGGATCCCATGCTAAGGGCCCTGTCTCATCTAAGAGCCTGCCCTTGCCTCACGAGCCATCCCAGGACATGTCTGATAAACCTCTGTCTAAAGGACTTGTGTCCTTGGATCTGCCCTCAACGGACATGTATGCCACACAGAGAGGCGAGAGTGACCGACCAAGGCTGGGTAGGATGACATAGTCTTCCAGCTGCCCAGCCCTTCACTGGAAGCCACGGCTTCGGGAACAGAGCAGAGGTGTGAGGGACCTGGAGTGGGCTAGGACTGACCCTGTCCAGGGTCTGTGTGTCACAGTCATCGGTTCCTGTAGCTTAACGCAGTTGGCTGGACTTGATGAGGACAGGAATCTGTCTGGCCAGAGGCTCCCTGACCCATGGGACTTGGCTGTCCTCTTGTCTCCCAGCCATGAGACTCTCCAGTCCCCACCCTTGCAGCTCACACCTGGGTGTGAAGTCTCTTGTGTGCCCTCACCGATGACCATGAAGAGTGAGGCCACCTGCTGTCAGGGAGGGTCGGTGTGTGGAGTGGCCCCGGGCTGGGACGAGGTGACCCCGTGGCAGGGCCTGGCCGCCCACATCACCCTGGGAGGAGGCAGGCCGGTTTCAGAGTCCAGCCCCTGCTGCCCTCGCCCCCTGGAGTCGCTGCCTCTCGCGGGGCAGACACCCCGTCTGCTGTTCCCCAGCAGCCTAGGTAGTCCCCTGTGGTGGCTCCCCTCGAGAACCAAATTTGACCCCTCCTGGAGCCTCCGCCCCGGGACAGGGTCTGTGAGTCAGGAGCTTTGGAATGCCCTGACATCTGCCTCTTGCCCCGTGCCTGTGAGGAGTGTTCTACCGGGCCTGGAGAGTGGGCTGGGTGCAGAGGGACGGCCCGGAGGAGGGCAGCCCAAATCTGCCCTCCGCTCACCCTTCTCCGGTGGACTCCGTTGACCCCTCCCCGCACCCTGGGGCTCTGTGAGTCGGTGACAACAGCACGGATCTTTCTTGTCCGTGTCCTTGCCAAGCGCCACTTCCCCCGTTAGCCGCCCCCAGTCTCTCTCACAATGTGTGGGGGTGCCACACCCTTCTGAGTCCCTTTCTGGACCCATCCTTGTGGGGCCGTGCGAGGGCTTACCAGGAGAGATGAAGGGACACCCAGGTCCCAGAGAGCCCCTGAGGTTGTTCACAACCGTGTGCCCTGGGTCCCCTCTCAGGACAGAGGGCCCTGCTTTTCACCTGGGCAGGCCCTTTCTGTGAATACCCACCTCCTGTCCTGTGCTTGGCTGCCCGTGTCCCTCAGCGGAGCCCCGTTCTGCCTCTGTGACCTGGGGTGGCAGCACACCGTCCGGGGCCGCACGGTTGGCGTTAAGCGGCGCCTGCCTCTGCCCACCCTCAGGATTCTGTGAGAGTGAGTGAGATGCTGGCAAAGAGGGCTGGACACGTATGGGTAATTGTTAGAGTGAGGAGGAGTTCTCTAGAAAGATCAAGTGGTGACCAACCACTGTGGAAGCGGCTCCTTCTTCCCAGGCCCAGTGTCCACAGCGTGCACCCCGTCCCCGTCCCCTGAGGATCAGTACTGGGGCTCAAAGAAAGATGGTCCTCATCGGCGACCTCCCTCGTTTCCTCTCTTTCCCCCCGCCCCCTGGACTCTCATTTCCATGTAATCTGTTAATTTCTGTTCTTATTTCACTTTGCAGACTATTTGCCGATTTCACAAGACATAATTTTTATCAACTAGCTCTTAAGAGAGGCATAACAAAGTGGGGTTTGCTACCATTACTAGACAGAGGACACAGTCCCGGCCGGGGCCAGCCCAGCCACTGTCCGTGCCTGCCGAGACTGTCCTAGCTGCCCGCTTGAACCAATGTTCTTTTTCTCTTTTTTAATTCTTGGAAAAGACTCATGTCCTCACTGCCTCACTCAGTTTAAAAAGAAATTTTTTTTTTCTTGTGCAGTCCCCTGGCATTTTGCTTCTTGTACCCAGTGTGAACATTCTCCCCACCTACCCCAACCTCCCACCCTCACCTGGAATGTAACGGGACCAGAAGGAAACTTCTCACAAACTTTGTAGAGCCTCCTCAGGGGAGTCCAGGAAACAGGCATCAAATTACTTTAAATATTGACCAAACAGGCTTCTTGGGACATTCCACGGGGTGGGCTTTTAGTGCGGATGGCCCACAGGAGTTGGGGATATGTGACTTGGAGCACCTATGTCCTATAGTGGACAGTACCAAAAGTGAACACACACACACACCCTGTTCCTGTAAATACTAATGTGTGGAAAACTGAATCTGGAAGGAAAACTGTATCTGAAAAACCATCATTATCTGGTTGTTTTTGTCTTTGGGGGCCAGTCCATCAGTGGCTATTGCCAATAACATAAGTACACCTGTCTTTGAGAAGGGACAGCAGAATCACCTGGGCACTGCCGTGTCTCGGGCACCATGGGCACAGGAAGGAGGGACCTTCCCCAGCACCCCCACCCTCACCTCCCTGCCCACCCTGGCCTTGAATTCCCTGGTGGCATCACGGCCCTTTGGCCCACTGATGTAGGAGGGGACAGAACACAAAGGGTCTCCCTGATCTGACTGGCACCCCTGATGGTCACCCCCCCCCCCAGAAGGGCTTGCTTTTCCTGTGATCCTGATCCCCTCCACTTCTGCATTTGAAATAAAATGCCCCCACTCTCTTGGATTGATGAAGTACAGCGCAGCAGGACCCTCAAGAGTCACCCCTTTGTTTATGCGCATAGTTTGTGAGAAGTGACCCACCCACATGTTTCCACTGGATGTTTTTGATGTGAGCAGATCCATCTGTT